GTTCATAAGTTTACTGTGCGGCGCCTGCGATCAGAAATAAATTGGCGAAACAGGGAGAAAAATTAGCACGCGAATCAAGGAACATCAGAGGCCCTGCAGGAAAATGGATACCGAAAGATCAGAACTAGCGGAACACATCGCACAGAGTGGACACGAGATCAATTGGAAGGCAACAGAAAGAAGAGCCCCATACGTTGGCAGCACAAAGAAGCGGAAGATTCAGGAGGCCGTTGACATCGTTGGGAAGAAAAATCTAATGAACTGGAGATTGGAGGAAGGTAGAGTTAGCGTTAATTTTGCCTATTGTTTAAGCAAACTCGGGGAAAACAGGAATAGAGCAAGACCAGCGAAAAGGAGACTGCTGGATCAAGAATCTACCGCTAACCGGAGGAAAAGAGATCGCAATGAAGAAAGTGAGGGAAGAGATTTTCGGCAATAAAGCGAAGATGTTGTCAGTTTCGAATAAACTAGTGCAACTTTGGAGCCTGACAGTCATGGAGCTGATCAGGCGGATAAACAAACCTTCACGGAAATTCGGCGTTATGGCCAAAATATACTAAAAATCCACTTGAGATGCCGCATGTGACCAGAGATAGGCGTTCACAGTTTGCTCAGATAACATGGGTTTAATAAGGTAGAGGACCCGTGAAGGGAAGGCCTGATATCTGCAAGCATTGCAATCAGGGCTTAGGCGCTCTTCTCGGTGAGGCGACAGTGTGTGTCCTTCTAGGCCCTTGAGAAATAGCGCCTGGAGTGAAATGCACACAGGGACTGGAACCGAGTGAAATCGGTCAACCAGAAAGATAAAGAACGGATCTACAAGACAATGAATGGATCCTGATTGGAGGCCCGAGTCGGATCAGCCGATCGAAAGAGAGAGGTCGGGGTAAATAGCAAGTGTGATGAGGCTATACTAGATTTGCCACAAAAGAGCACACATTTTGATGAGTGGAGTGTAAACAAGTGAGAAGTTGTGATAGGGCGGAAGTGGGATAAGAGGGTAAAGATTAGATAGATAGGCCAGGGCAGAAAGAGTAGTGATAGAGTAACCGTTTTCGGCAGATCGTTTGTCGAGGGATTGGCTTCATTTGTCTCTGACGAGTTCGTAGCTTGGTGCGGACAATGGCAAAACTCACTGATGATGCCGGTGAAACGTTTGAGAATGTACCAAGCCCACTTTCTGATGTTGGGAATCATGACAACTACTATGGCATATGACTTCGGACTAGGTGCGTTCTACTAAGTCACCCTAACAACAAGACCAAGTTGCGATAACGAGGTCAACTCACTTTTATAGGTAAAATTTAGCCTTATGTTCAGCTTCTGGTTTCAGATCTACTTTCCATTTGTCTTTGAATGATATGTTCCAAAAATCTCCGCCACTTCATAATATTTAAAATTAACTCGGTTATTTTATTTGCTTACGATCGGACACTATATTTAACCAAATCAGAGGTTATAAATGTGATGACATTACCAAACAAAATTAACACTCGAGGCTCCCGGATAAAATTTTAATCACCTTATAATTATCCCGTGGCGTCAAGGAGACTTTAAAGAGAGTACCACATACTCTCATTATTA